TTCTTGCTGATTTTCCTGAGTTCTGTATAGATTCTAGTTATCAGCCCTTTATCAGATGTGTAGCATGCAAATATTTTCTCCCATTTCGTAGATTGTCTGTTTGCTCTCGTGATAGTTTCCTTGGCTGTGCAGAAGCTTTTTAATTTGATCAGGTCCCATTTATTTTTGTTGTTGCTGTGTTTGCCTTTGCAGTCTTCATAAATTCTTTGCCTAGGCCAATGTCTGTAAGAGTTTTTCCAACATTTTCTTCTAGAATTCTTATAGTTTCATGCCTTAGGTTTAAATCTGTTACTCAGTGTGAACTGGTTTTTGTGAGAGGTGAAAGGTGTGGATCCTGATTCAGTCTTCTACATGTGGATATCCAGTTTTCCCAGCACCATTTATTGAATAAGGATTCTTTCCCCCAGTGTATGTTTTTGTCTGCATTGTAAACAATTAGATGGCTATATGAGGATGATTTCATATCTGGGTTCTCATTTCTGTTCCACTGGTCTGTTTCTTTGTTCTTGTGCCAGTACCATGCTGTTTTAGTTAGTATAGCCTTGTAGTATAGCTTGAAGTCTGTTAAATTGATGCCTTCCAATTTGTTCTTTTTGCTTAAGATTGCTTTTGCTATACGGGGGTCTTCTCTGGTCCCGTACAAAACATAGAATTATTTTTTTCTAGATATGCAAAAAATGATGTTGATATTTTAATGGGGATTGCATTGAATCTGTAGATCACTTTGGGTAGTACAGACATTTTAACAATATTCATTCTGCTGACCCATGAGCATGGTATGGCTTTCCACCTATTTACGTCCTCTGCTATTTCCTTCCTCAGTGTTTTGTAGTTCCCTGTAGAGGTCTTTTACTTCCTTAGTTAAATATATTCCTAAGTATTTTATTTTCTTTTTTGCTATTGTGAAGGATATTGAGCCTTTGATTTGGTTCTCAGTTTGACTATTGTTAGCGTATAGGAATGCTACTGATTTCTGTACATTGATTTTATAAACTGAGACTTTGCTGAATTTGTTTATCAATTCCAGTAGTCTCATGGCAGAATCTTTGGTTTTCTAGATATAAGTTCATATCATCAGCAAAGAGTGATAGTTTGACCTCTTCTGCCCCCATTTAGATGCCCTTGATTTCCTTCTCTTGTCTGATCGCTCTGGCTAGGACTTCCAGCACTATGTTGAATAGAAGTGGTGATAGAGGGCAACCTTGTCTGGTTCCAGTTCTAAGAGGGAATGCTTTCAGTTTTTCCCCATTCAGTATGATGTTGGCTGTGGGTTTGTCATATATGGCTTGTATCATTTTTAGGTAAGTCCCACCTATGCCTATTTTCTTAAGCATTCTTATCATAAAAGGGTGTTGAATTTTGTCAAATGCTTTTTCTGTGTCTATTGAGAGAATCATATGGTTTTTGTTTTTGCTTCTATTTATGTGGTGAATTACATTTATAGATTTGCATGTGTTGATTTGCATCCCTGCATCTCTGGGATGAAGCCCACTTGGTCGTGATGCATTATTTTTTTGATAAGCACTTGAATTGGTTTGCTAGGATTTTTTTTTGAGAATTTTTGCATCTATAATCATAAGAGATATTGGTCTGTAGTTTTATTTTTTTGTTGCATCCTTTCCTGGTTTTGGTATCAGGGTGATGTTGGCTTCATAAAATGTGCTGGGGAGGATTCCTCCCTTCTCGATGTTGTGGAATAATTTCTGCAGGATAAGCACCAGTTCTTCTTTGTAGGGCTGGTAAAAATTGGGTGTGAAACCATCTGGTCTGGGACTTTTATTTTTAGGAGGGTTTTTTATTGCTGCTTTAATTTTGGTACTTGCTATCAGTCTGTTCAGGAATTCTATTTCTTCCTGATTGAGCCTAGGGAGGCTGTGTGTTTCTAAGAATTTGTCCATTTCCTCAACATTTTCAGATTTATGTGAATAGAGGTTTTTATAGTATTTGTAAATGATATTTTGTATTTCTGTGGTATCAGTTGTAGTTTCTCCTTTTTTCATTCCTGATGGAGCTTATTAGAGTCCTTTCTTTTCTCCTTCTTGTTAATCTACAATGAGGCGTGTTAATTTTGTTTACTTTTTTCAGAGAACTAACTTTTGTTTTATTGATCTTCTGTATAGTTTTATTTTATTGATTTCATGTAGTTCCACTTTGATCTTTGTTATTTCTTTTCTTCTCCTGGGTTTGGGGTTGGTTTGCTCATCCTTTTCCAGTTCTTTGAGATGATTCATTAGATTATTGATTTGTGATCTTTCTGTCTTTTGGATGTAGGCATTTATGGATATAAATTTTCCTCTCAGGACGCTTTAGCTGTGTCCAAAAGATTTTGGTAACTTGTGTCTCCTTTATCATTTAGTTCAAAGAATCTTTTGATTTCCATCTTAATTTTCTCCTTAACACAATAATTGTACAACAGAAGGTTGTTTAGTTTCCATGACTTTGTGTAGAGATGAGAGTTTCTGTTAGAGTTGATTTCTAATTTTATTCCACTGTGGTCTGAGAAGATGCATGGTATGATTTCTATTTTTTTAAATTTGTTGAGACATAGTTTGTGGCCTAGGACATCGTCAATCTTAGAGAATGTCCCATGAGCTGATGAGAAAAATGTATATTCAGTGGTTTTTGGGTAGGATGTACCATAAATATCAGTCAGGCCCATTTGTTCTAGAGTTGTGTTTAAGTTCATAGTTTCTTTGTTTATTTTCTGTTTGGAGGATCTGTCCTGTTCTGTCAGATGGGTGTTGAATTCTCTGGCTATTATGGTGCTGCTGTTTATCATTTTGTTTAGATCAAATAGGATTTTCTTTGTGAATCTGGGTGCACCTGAGTTAGGTGCATAAATATTTAGAATTGTTATGTATTCTTGTTGAATTGTACCCTTCACCATTATATAAT